CGCATGTGCCGCGCGCCCAGGGGAGGGGCCGCCCGTGTGTCCCGCGCCTGGAGCTGGCACCATGCATGTGCCGTGCACCGGGGGCGGGGCCAGCCCAGATGTTTCAGCGGGCGTCCAGAAATCCCCCGGCGGGTGCCATGGCGCCCGCGGGTACCGCGTTGGGGACCACGGGTCTAGATAAGCCCTTAGTTTCGTTGGGTGGTTGTGTGGGTTTTTTTTTTTTTTTTTAAACCATTTAATTTGGAATTCTGCAGGAGTTTCTCATGTGGTGATCTGAATCATAAGTATTAAAGTGGTTTTATTTAGATTACAGATGGAATAGATGACTCTCTTTCACATTGCTTTATTTCTTTTTTTAGAAATGAAAGGGGACATGATTTTGCACCTAGAGCCACAGCCTTTGCCAATTCCCTCTGATCGGTCTCAAGATGAGGACCTGAATATCTCACTGGAGCCAGATTCTGCATGTGAGACTCAATCAAAATTGGATGAGGTAGCGGAAAAGGAAGACCAGCACTTTAGTGAATCGGAGAGTAAGAAACTTCCAAGTTTAACTCTTGTATTGGATATACTTAATTACTTAAATCTTTTGGCTGTACAGGAAAAGGAGAGGTATTGGTTTTGTACAGAAATTTGGGAAAATGTAGTAGTGAGTTTAAAGTACATTAAATACCAGAGACCATGATTTCGTCATCTCTTTTTAATTAATTTTAAGTCCTAGAAATACTGATTTTTCCAAACCTGGGACTTTTGGTCCAAATCACTGATGTTCCTGGACCAGGGAGTCCTGGCTGAGAGCCCAGTGGCAGGAAGGCTAGCATCTGGGAGCCCTATTGGACTCGGGGCCCATTGGGGCTGGCAAATTCCCTTGTTTGGGACTGGTCAGGTCTTGAGGGTGCCAGACCAGAGAGGTCCAACCTGTATATATATGGAAATGGCATGAGTTAGAATTGCTTTGGAACCATAGCTTTTAGTAATTTGAATGTATGTTAACTATTTATTAAATTCAAGTATTTTTTGTAGCTTACAGATATTTAATATTATAGATATGAAATATTTACGTCATTAGCAGTTTTTGATACTTTCTATTCCATGGATTGTCATATAATAAATATAAACTTCAAATGAAAAAGTGAAGTTTCTATTTTTGTGTTTCAGTACTGTGAATTGTGTTGAGCAATACTTTATTCTGAGGCAATAATGGGCAACCTAGGTTAGGGAATAGGTTGTCATCTCAGTGAGCTGCAAGATTGTCATAACCAAGACAGTCTCCTGGGATAGGATAGTTTCACTAACTGTGCTTGCATATCTAGAATTTGTGGGGTGTGCCAATTGAACTGTAGCAACACTTTGGTTGCAAAGGGAGGGCACGGCTCTCACAGTTCATGTTGTGTGCAATCAGCACACACCTTGCTTTCTTTCACTTTAGTAATACCAGTACCGGAAAAAAAAATATGGACGGCAATCAGCAGAATATGGCCACCCTGCATGTGGGCAATGGTCTCATTGGCCACACAGAATCCTGATGGGGCGCAGGTTGTCCACCATTCCTCTGAGGCCTATCCTAAGCAGTTGCAGGATTTGTAAATCTAACTAGTGAAATTGCATGTTGACTGTAATACATGCACATTATAACTATTTTGAAACAGTGCTTTAAGATATCTATTTTGAGAACCTGTCTTTATTACCTGTCAGGAAGGTGAGTTATTGTGTCTACTGAATCCATTTGTAAAAGACAGATTTGGCCAATTGTCTTACTAGAATGATTTTCCTTAAGGTCAATGACTTTGTAATGTGAGAAGTAACAGAATTCAATATGTACCTTGTTTTGTCTTATTTTTATACCTATAAGTGTTTGGGGTCTGTGTTCCTCCTAGATCATGAAGTAGGAATGGTGTCTCAAACACAATCAAAACTGGTCTTAAAAAAATTGCTAAATAAGATCCGGAGCCAAAAAGACCAGTGGACTTCAAAATGTGAAGCAGAGGTTCAAAGTGAAATTGAGACAATTGAATCAGGAACACTTGCTAGTGAAGAGAGACGATTATGTGATTCAGAACCTGGTCATGAACAACATGCTGATTCAGTTTCTCAAGACATGGGTAAGTATTGTGTAGCTTCACAATTAAAATTAAATGTACTTTTAGAGCAAAGAGAGCCTGGCTGGGCAGACCTGTGAATTTTGATTTTCCCATAAAAAGTTATTGAACGGCATAAAATGTTGCTTTGTTCTGTTGCTTTTTGAGGGGTTTGGGGTAAAAAATAGGTAAGTGAATTGGCTTAAGATTTTTTGATTGGCTTATGGCTTTTGATTTTTGATGAGACTTACATTTTTTGACTATGTCACCACTGATCTATTTCTGAATTTAAAAAAAAAAGTTCCTTGGAGGCTAAACACAGTATCTTGACATGTATCAGAGGGGTAGCCGTGTTAGTCTGAATCTGCAAAAGCGACAAGGAGTCCTGTGGCACCTTATAGACTAACTGAAGTGCAGGAGCATAAGCTTTCGTGAGCAAAGACCCACTTCGTCAGATGCAGGTAGTGGAAATTTCCAGAGGCAGGAATAAATATGCAGGCCAGGATCAGGCTGGAGATGACGAGGTGGATCCAATCAAGGAGGATGAGGCCCACTTCTAGCAGCTGATCTGGAGGTGTGAATTCCAAGAGAGCAGAAGCTGCTTTTGTAGTTAGCAAGCCATTCACAGTCTTTGTTTAATCCAGAGTTGATTGTGTCAAACTTAAAGATGAACTTTAGCTCAGCAGTTTCTCTTTGAAGTCTGGTCCTGAAGTTTTTTTGCTGCAGGATGGCTACTTTTAGATCTGCAATTGTGTGTCCAGGAAGATTGAAGTGTTCCCCTACAGGTTTTTGTATGTTGCCAAAACAGCATCGCTTGCCTGGTAACCTCAGTTGTGCAGAACGCAATGCCATCCGGAACAGTGCAGAACGCAATGCCATCCACAGCCTCCGGAACAACTCTGACATTATAATCAAAGAGGCTGACAAAGGAGGTGCTGTTGTCATCATGAACAGGCCTGACTACCTAAAGGAGGCTGCCAGACAACTCTCCAATACCAAATTCTACAGGCCACTTTCCTCAGATCCCACTAAGGAATATACTAAGAAACTGCACCATCTGCTCAGGACACTCCCCAAACAAACACAGGAACAAATCGACACACCTTTAGAGCCCCGACCAGGGTTGTTCTATCTATTACCCAAGATCCACAAACCTGGAAATCCCGGACGCCCCATCATCTCGGGCATTGGCACTCTTACTGAAGGACTGTCTGGCTATGTGGACTCTCTGCTCAGACCCTACGCCACCAGCACTCCCAGTTACCTTCGTGACACTACGGATTTCCTGAGAAAACTACAATGCATAGGTGATCTTCCAGAAAACACCATCCTAGCCACCATGGATGTAGAGGCTCTCTACACAAACATCCCACATGCAGATGGAGTACAAGCTGTCAGGAACAGTATTCCTGATGATGCCACAGCACAACTGGTGGCTGAACTCTGTGAATTTATCCTCACACACAACTATTTCAGATTTGGTGACAACATATACCTCCAGACCAGTGGCACTGCTATGGGCACCCGCATGGCCCCACAATACGCCAACATTTTTATGGCTGACCTGGAACAACGCTTCCTCAGCTCTCGTCCACTTACACCCCTTCTCTACCTACGCTACATCGATGACATCTTCATCATCTGGACCCATGGGAAGGAGACTCTGGAAGAATTTCACCATGATTTCAACAGCTTCCACCCCACCATCAACCTCAGCATGGACCAATCTACACGGGAGGTCCATTTCCTGGACACCACGATACAAATAAGTGACGGTCATATCAATACCACCCTATACAGAAAACCTACCGACCGCTATACTTACCTGCATGCCTCCAGTTTCCATCCCGGACACACCACACGATCCATTGTTTACAGCCAAGCACTGAGGTACAACCGCATATGCTCCAACCCCTCAGACAGAGACCTACACCTACAAGACCTTCAACAAGCATTCTGTAAACTGCGATACCCACACGAGGAAGTGAGGAGACAGATTGACAGAGCCAGACGTGTACCCAGAAGCCTCCTGCTACGGGACAAGCCCAAGAAAGAAACCAACAGAACACCACTGGCCATCACCTATAGTCCCCAGCTAAAACCTCTCCAACGCATCATTAGTGATCTTCAGCCCATCCTGGACAATGATCCCTCGCTCTCACAGGCCTTGGGAGGTAGGCCGGTCCTTGCCCACAGACAACCCGCCAACCTGAAGCATATTCTCACCAGCAACTACACACCGCACCATAATAACTCGAACTCAGGAACCAATCCTTGCAACAAACCTCGGTGCCAACTCTGCCCACATATATACACCAGCAACACCATCACAGGACCTAACCAGATCAGCCATACTGTCACTGGTACATTCTCCTGCACATCCACCAACGTAATATATGCCATCATGTGCCAACAATGCCCCACTGCTATATACATCGGCCAAACAGGACAGTCCCTACGTAAAAGAATCAATGGACACAAATCTGATATTAGGAATGGCAACATACAAAAACCTGTAGGGGAACACTTCAATCTTCCTGGACACACTATTGCAGATCTAAAAGTCGCCATCCTGCAGCAAAAAAACTTCATGACCAGACTTCAAAGAGAAACTGCTGAGCTACAGTTCATCTTTAAGTTTGACACAATCAACTCTGGATTAAACAAAGACTGTGAATGGCTTGCTAACTACAAAAGCAGCTTCTGCTCTCTTGGAATTCACACCTCCAGATCAGCTGCTAGAAGTGGGCCTCATCCTCCTTGATTGGATCCACCTCGTCATCTCCAGCCTGATCCTGGCCTGCATATTTATTCCTGCCTCTGGAAATTTCCACTACCTGCATCTGAGGAAGTGGGTCTTGCCCACGAAAGCTTATGCTCCTACACTTCAGTTAGTCTATAAGGTGCCACAGGACTCCTTGTGTCTTGACATGCTGTATACTAAGTACCAATAAATAAAAAGGACACCTGTTCCTGAATCTGGATTCAATATCTTTTGAATTAACTTTAACATGAAACAGATTGGGATTATTGCTTGTTTTGTAATTATTTTGTAGCCATTTGTTTATCTCCTTTTTGCTTCTGGGATGTCACTGGAATAGTGCATGTGATTGGTTCTTAAGAGTCTAACTATTAGGCAGTTCAGTCACAAGTATTTGAATTATTTAATGTATTAAGTAACTTTTAACATAATAAATTTTAATTATACTTGTGAATGCATTTGCTGTAATGCCATTGTTAACATTCTGGGGATGGCTTTATTATTAAGGCATATCTGTGTGTGGTGATTTATTACTTTATTTGTGAGTTGTGAGCAATACAGTTGCTAGAAGGGGACAGGAAACTTACTCATTAATACTGAGAGTTAGTGGTACTTAGGAATGTTAAAATTAGGGATGTTTTAAAACTTTTTAATTTTTTGTAAACGTGTAACTGCTGAAAATGTCACAGCTGTTACATGTTTATTCACAGGGGGAGGCGACTCCATAGGAGCTGGGTTTAAAGCCATCTCCCCACTGACACTGGCTCCCACAAAGCCTCCTCCCCTCTTCCCCTGCTAAAAGCCAGCTCCCCGCGAGTGCCAGCTCCCATTTGCTCTTCCTCCCCCCATGCTGCTGCCTCTGATAGAGAGTCAGCTATAGGGTGGGGGGGAAGGCCTTGCATGTAACTGACGGTTAACTGATGAGCCCAGGTTCATTGGTTAATCGTTTAGTCATATACACTATCACATCCTTAGTTAAATGCATTTATTCACGTAATTATGTAACTGCTGAAAATGTCAGTGGTTGCATGTTTGCACATTTGGGGGAAAGGGAAGAGGGGAATCGCTCTTCATCTTAGAGATTTATGTTTAAACTACAACCAGTATAAAAGTGGGACCCTCCACAAGATCCAGGGATATCTGGGTGGGAAGTACTGCTTCCCACCTTCTCAAGAGCCAGTGAGGCTCGAGGGTGTTTTCCTTAGACTCAATTAGGGAAAGTTGCCCTTGGCTTAACACATTGGGTTGATCCTATCATATTTGTAAGTACTAATTTAGTTATGAGTTCGGTGTTCTGGCCAGTACAGTGTACTGGCAAGTTCTGATAGGAGTATTATTCATGAATGCTACCTGTTGCGCGTACACACTCACACACTCTCACACACTCACTTTGAGACCTAGGTGGTGCCGGATTATTGGATATGCCAGAATATTAGGAGGTCCCGGTACAGCTGCATGGCTTTTCAGTCATCTGGCCAGGACCATCCATAGTCCAGCATGATTTTAGTTAGCTGATTGTCTGCTTATCAGGGATGTGGTCAAGTTTCCGACAGTCCCATAAAGTTTGTTTACAGCCACCAGTCCTGGCTCTGTGTTCTGTGCTATTACTTCGTTCTTTCTGACTTACCCCTAAATATATTCTAAGAGCCCAGTAAGCAGTGGAAGTGTTGGTATTGATGCTTGACAATACAGATATCCCGTGCTTTGGCAAATTCTCTGGTTTGGCACCTATCAGGTCCCAAGGGTGCTAGACTAGAGAGGTTCAACCTGTAGTGAGATGTTGCAAAACTTTTGTAGTGAACATTTGGAGACTAGATTTAAAATACAGGCAGTCCCCGGGTTACATGGATCCGACTTACATCGGATCCCTACTTACAAACGGGGTGAGGCAATCCCGCACTAGCTGCTTCCCCCCCAGCAGACCAGGGAGACGCAGAGCGGCTTTTCTCAGCAGACACCTCAGCTTGAGAATAAAGGACTGAGGGGAGTGAGGTGTGGGAGAATAAAACTGAGCTCTGGAGAAATGTTTGGCTAGAGTTTCCCCTACAATATGTACCAGTTCCAACTTGCATACAAATTCAACTTAAGAACAAACTACAGTCCCTATCTTGTACGTTACCTGGGGACTGCCTGTATTGGAGTTTTACTGTATGTATTTTTCAGAATCTCCAGAAATGAAGCATACTGTTATAGCTGGAAATTCAGTCCTAATCCATCCTCAGGAACAAGCAACCAAATCAAGAATGGAAGTAGAGAGACAAAAACAGGTATTTTTTCCGGATCTTTTAAAATGTGCTTTTACTAATCAGCCCTGCCCAGTCAGTCAGCTCCATGCATGCAGCCCTGAGCCTCTGACTAGGTGGGGCTGTGCTCCCACGTAGATTAGAGGGAACACTGGTGGCCAGTGCTAAAAGTTTCAGAGGAAATGCAAGGAACAGAACAATTTATCAAGCAATATTGTCCCCTTGTTGTTTAGTCCCAGCTTCTTGCAGTCCAAGGTTTTGGGATGCCCAGGGCATAGGATTTTCTGTGGCCATCTTGATTAACAGACATTGATTGATCTATCTGCTGTGAGCTTATCTGATTCTTTTTAATCCAGTTAAACTTTTGGACTTCAACATCCCCTGGCAGCAAGTTCTGTAGGTTGAATGTGTGTTATGTGAAAAAGCACTTGCTTATGTTTGGCTTTTAAACCTGCTACATAATTCATTGGATGACCCTTGCTTCTGGTGTAATATGAAAGGGTAAATAACACTTAGTCCCTTTCTTCACACCATTCATGGTTTTACAGATCCCTCTCATATTCTCCATCCCTCTTTTTCATCTTTTTTCTAAGATGAACAGTTTCAGTCCTTTTAATCTCTACTCATATGGAAGTGGTTCATATTCCCACTCATTTTTGTTGCCCCCCCCCTTTTTTTTAAACCTCTTCCTGTTGTAATATATCTTTTGTGAGCTGGATCGACCAGAACTGCATGCAGTATTCAGGGTGTGGATGTACTATGGATTCATAGTTTGCCATTATATTTTCTGTCATTTTATCTGTCCATTTCCTAATGGTTCCTTACATTGTCAGCTTTTTTGACAGCCTCTGAAAATTGTGATTGTTTTCTAGTGTACGTTACTTTGCATTTATCAACATTGGATTACATCTGCTAATTTGTTGCCCAGTCATCACGTTTTATGAAATCCCTTTGTAATGTTTTGAACTTAAAAATCTAGAGTAATTTTCGGTCTGCCAACTGTGCCACCTCACTGATTAGCCCTTTTCCAGATCATTTATGAAGATGTTAAACAACACAGTCCCAATACAGATCCCTGGAGAACACCAATATTTACCTCCACTCTAGAAAACTACCCTTTGCTTCTTGTCTTTTAATCAGTGACTGATTCATTGGGTACCTAAAACCTTCCCTCTTATCCCATGGCTGCTTACTTTGCTGAAGAGGCTTCAGGAGAGGGATCTTGTAAATGATTTTTGAAAATCTTAAGTTGCTGTATCTACTGGATCATCCTTGTCCACACGTTTATTTGCCCTCTCAAAGAATTTTAAGAGATTTGTGAGGCCTGATATCCCCTTACAAAAAACTGTCAACTCTTCCCTAACATTGTTTGTCTGATTTATTCTGTTTTTTACTATGGTTTCAACCTGTTCACCTGTAATTGCCACAATCCCCTCCAGATCCTAGTTCAGAAATTTGTCACGTTAGCTATCTTCCAGGTATCTGGTACAGAAGCTGATAAATGTGATAGGTATAACTTATATACCACATTCTGTCGGTCTGGAAAGTGTCCCTGTATTCACATCATATACACTAGTAATAATCTTTGTTCAAAACATGCCTTGGGAGGTATTAACAATGTTACATGTAAAGTTAGGAATTCCCCCATGTGATGATGACTGTACATGTTCAAACCCATACAGCCTTGAGTAGGCAAAAATTGTTAAACATGCCTGTTCTAAACAAAGGAATGTGTGTTCACCTTATATGTGAACTGGTTTCTAAAAGACAAAGGAAAAACTGACTCCTGCTGCCAGGAGTCATCAAAATTGATGGGCAGTCATTGATCAAGTGAACATTCTTTGTCAAGCAAGAAGAGCAGGAACATATCAATCTCCATTCTAGCAAACAACAACATGGAATATCTTTCATCAGGAGATTCCATAGCTAGAAGGAATTTTATTTAGAGGTGTAACACTCTTGAAAATTGATTTCAAAGGGTGATTGGACTACTAAGTGGTGAGAGGCAAAAGCACACAAGGTTATCTCTCTGTGTCTATCTCTTTCACCTAAGGTGACAAAGAAGCCAGCCATTAGAGAAGGGTAATAGAGAGGTAGCCATGTCCATCTGATTTTGGTAAAACGAAAGGGAAAAATATGTAGCACTTGAAAGACTAACAATATAGTTTTTTAGGTGATCACCTAAAAAACTATATTGTTAGTCTTTCAAGTGCTACATATTTTTTCCTTTTGTTTTACCAAGATCAGACTGATACAGCTACCTCTCTATTACTTTTCAACATGCAACTACATTTAGCCATTTGGAATGGAAATCCATCAGCCATATGAAAAAACTTTCACAGACAGAATCACCTAATAAACGATCTTGTTAGTCTTTAAAGTGCTACATATTTTTTCCTTTTGTCTTAGGGAAGGGGGCAGTCCTGACCTAAGAATTTGGTCAGCAGTAACAACACGTGATAAGAGTTTTACCTAGAACCAAGTGTTATTTAAGATTTCATATCTTTAAACAGATTTATCTTTAGTTCTTTTGTAACAATTGATGACTTGAATACCCTATACTTGTACTCCTTTAAAAATCTCTTTGTAGTTACATAATCTTATTTTATTTTTTTAATCAGAACAAATCCATTGTTGTGTTTGAATTGAACTGTTAGAGTAGTGAACTCTTGCATATTGACCCCTGATAGGGAAATATCTAAACTGCCAAAGAGAGGACTCAGAAGTGCAGATTACACATGCTTGGAAAATTCAGAATGGGGAGTGTATTGGAGCCATCCTGTCAGTAGTAACCAAGGCTGCTGAAGTCTGAACATGCCATGTATTTTGCTGATAGACTGCAGGGGTCAGAATCGCTGGACTGGAACTGCAGCTATACACAGATATTCAGGGTGTGATTTCTATGTTGTTTGTGAGCTATAACAGCAAAGCATTGTGAGGTGCCTACACTTGCAGAGCAGTTGATGGTGATGCAGCCCTTCACTGGTCTAGAATGTGACAGTGGTCATTAAAAATCTTGTGGCCTGGCAACAATTTCAAATAGATCCTGTATTCTTCATTACCTATTCCAAAGGATTTTGAACCGTTATCATGCTTAGGTACTACAGTGACTGGTGCATAACACAAATCCCTCCTAGTAGCTTATTTTTCCTCTCTAGGAATTTGAAGTGCAATTTATGCTGTGCACCATTTAGCTACTTCAAAGGTATTATGAGACTTAAACTAATGTTAGCAGGGTGTAGACAATCTTTGATGAAAAGCACTATACAACAGCAAAGTACTTGTTCTGAATTTAGTTCCGCAATGGGGACACTGCCCTCTCCCAAATCGCCAATAGAACTGAAATGAATAAAACACTTATATTTTATTAATTGTATTAATTTAATAGCAACTGTTGTAAGCAATATGTAATATAGTTCTGTGCAGTGAAATTTTATGTAAGCAACCACCACACACAAGAATCTGTTCTCTAGTCAAAATCAAGTAAAACTATACTGTAAACTTTGAGGCTACTTTTAGAGGTCTTGTGCAATAGAGATTGCCTATTTAGGATGTAAGAATTAACTGTCTTATGGTTCTGTCATTTAATTCTGGAAAATCACTGTAGTATGTCTCTGATAGCTACAGCAAATAGAGCAACAAAAACAGCAGCAGCTAATTTTGCTGAAACAAATTGAAGAAAAGAGAATACAGTTGGAGGCAGAGTTTCTGAAGGTCCAAATGCAGGCTCACCAGGAGGAAATAAAGAAAAAAGAACAAGAGGCGATAGCTCAAGACTCACAGCTGAGTCCTGATCTGCTTGTGAATCAACATAGGCAAATGGAACACAAGGTAAAGTAAGAACACTTTATCAAAATTCAGAGAGCTGATTGCCATTACTAAACTGAAGTAATTGTTTAAACTTTATTTTCAAGTTGTGTGCCAGGAGGCACGGTTTCCTAGCTCCAAAATGCAATTGTGCTAATGTGTAAACAGTGATTTACTTGACATGCACAGACTTTGGGTATTAGATTATTTCTTTGGGATTTTAGGACATTTATCATATGGTCTAGAAAAAAATTATGCACAAAACCTCAGGTCATATAGCTGATCGTTTGACTCAATGGGTAATAATCAACAGCTCAATGTCTGGTTGGCAGTCGGTATTAAGCAGTGTGCCCCAAGGGTGGGTTCTAGGGTTTTATTCAACATCTTTATTAATGACCTGGATGAGGGGATGGATTGCACCCTCACCAAGTTTGCAGATGACACTAAGCTAGGGGGAGAGGTACGTATGTTGGAGAGTAGGAGTAGGGTCCAGCGTGACCTAGACAAATTGGAGGATTGAGCCAAAAGAAATCTAATGAGGTTCAAAAAGGACAAGTTCAGAGTCCTGCATTTGGGACAGAGGAATCCAAAGCACTGTTACAGGCTGGGGTCCGACTGGCTAAACAGCAGTTCGGCAAAAAAGGTCCTAGGGATTACAGTAAATGAGAAGCTGGATATGAGTCAACAGTATGCCCTTGTGACCAAGAGGGATAGTGGCATATTAGGGAGCATTAGGAGGGCCATTGCCAGCATATCTAGAGAAGTGATTATTCCCCTTGATTCAGCACTGGTGAGGCCACATTTGGAGTATTGTGTCCAATTTCAGGCCCCCATTACAGAAAGGATGTGGGTGCATTGGAGAGTCCAGTGAAGGGCAATGAAAATTAGGGGGTTAAAGTGCATGACCTCTGAGCATAGCTCGACAAAGTATTGAATCTACTCACTATGGGCGAGTAGATTTCAGCCCTGTGCCCCGTTTGCCGCCGCCAGCACGCGCATGCACAATGCGGGGCATACGCAGTGCGGGGCTGGCGAGTGGCTTTCGCTGCAATCGTCGAGCCCTGCCTATGAGGAGAGGCTGAGGGATTTGGGTTTGTTTAGTCTGCAGAAGAGAAGAGTATGGGGGATTTGATAGCAATCTTTTGATACCTGAAGGAAGGTTCCAAAGAGGATGGGGAGAGTCTGTTCTCAGTAGTGACATGACAGAATGAGGAGCAATGGTTTCAAGTTGCAGTGTGGGGGGGCAGTCTAGATTGGATATTAGGGGAAAAAACAGTGCTTGTTTTGTTTTGTTAAAAAAGGTGCTGGTACTCCAGGGGAAAGGTTGAGCAAAAAAAACCCAAACACGTTCCGTTCTTTCCAAGTAAGCTCTGACTGGAGGTGCTGGTACTGCGTGGGCAGTACCATCACAAAAAAAGCACTAGGAAAAACCATTTAACAAGGAGGATGGTGAAATACTGGAGTGGGTTACCTGGGGAGGTAGTAGAATCTCCATCCCTAGAGGTTTCTAAGTCCAAGCTTAACAAAGCTTTGGCTGGGATGAATTAGTTAGGATTGGTCCTGCTTTGGGCAGGGAGTTGGACTCGACCTCCTGAGATCTCGTCCAGCCTATGATTCTATGATTTGTGCTGTGAGCCATATCATTAATGCATGGGGAAAGGGAAACTGTTCTTTACAAAAACCCTGCCTTTTTGATTACACAGAAGCCCCTAGCATCACTTCTGAAGGACGGTTACATAAGTGAGGATATGGAGAGTGTATGGTTTAATTGTTGCTCATAATTTATCTTGAGGCGCCATCTTTCTAGGCCCCTAGTCTCCTTTTACATGGAGCCATCTTGGATGATTGGTCCCCTAGTCTGTGGCTGGATTCTTGTACCTCTCTGAAATAAGCTGCAGATCACTGTTGGCATCATTAAATCTGAAATCTACAGTATGCTCTAGAATATAATATCAGTCTGGCAGGAGAAAATGTAGCCTTAGGCCAACTGTTCTCGGAACTGCACTCCATCTCCGCAGCCTCAGGCTAAAATTTTATGGATTCCAAACGTACACTAGTACAGAATGGCTTCTGCTGCTTTGAGAGAGAGTGAGAACTTGCTGCTTAGTATTCATCTTATTTAACATGTTTATACATGTTTGAATTTTCCCACTTAAACAATTTTTTTCCTGTTAGACTGAAACTACTGTGGTGCCTGAAACTAGCAGTTTTAAAGAGGAAAATCATATACAGATGATTCATAACTATCAACGATGTCTTCTACAGCAAAACAGGTATTTTCCGCATGTAACATTAGCATCTTGGGTGGATTGTGTAATTGAAGGCTGTTGGAATAATGAAAACTGTCTTCATGCTACACAGGGAATAAATGTTTTTGTTCTGTTTAGATTGCACAAACAGTCAGTTGAAGAAGCCAGAAAACAGTTGCAGGAATATCAGAATAAGTTGAAGCAAAGATATCCGTCTATTTCTATGCCATTAAGCTCTGCAGTTACATTGCAGTCAAGATTTGTTAACTTAAAACCTACTACCCATGAATCAGTTTTACAAATGCATGGCCCTGCAGTACTTCATAAAGATCATCCATCAGCTAGTCAGTCATCTGTACAAGTTCAAGTACAAGAATATGCTAAGCCATTAACCACACATCCAAGAACACATTTTGTGTTAGAAAAACCATTTGAACAGAGAGATGATGAGCAAAGGCATATTATGGGCTCTCCTGGACAGTTACGACCTATAGATGTGTCTCAGTTGGATCAAAGGCAATTTCAGTTGCCCCAACAGAGTTACCCTTCACAAGAACAGATGGAAATGCTGGGTACTTCTAATAATCAGATGAGAGAACTTCCAGGGTCAGTCATGATGACCTCACAAGATACTTCAGGTATGATGAAAACAGAGGCACAGATAAAACAGGTCACATCAGCTTTGCCCACAGAAGAGCCATCTGAGCCTTCAGGAACCCTGTACCTTGAAAAAAAGTCAGTAATGTCTCAAGAAATGCTAAACTCACCAAGAGAGAGGGAAACACAAAAACAGTCTCATCTTACCACACTTGATATGCTAGCAGCAGAGGGGCCTCCAATAGCTCAGACTGCCTCATTTGATTCTTCAGAATACCAGCAGGTACCTGCAAAGAGCAGCATAAAGACAACCTTTGAACAGTCTATCCCCCAATTTTTTCAACACCTTACTTCATTATCTCCTGATGAATCTGAGACTGGGGCAAGCCAAGAGTCTTTTGCGCCCAAAAGTGGAGGTGCATCTTTGTTAAATTATTCCAATATATTAATGTTGAGAGCAAAAGTACTGGCTTCTTCAGAGAGCATCCAAGCTCAGCAAGATCATTTGAAAGAACTGCAAGAACAACTGGATGTACAAAGAGATGCTCTTCTTTCTAGGCAGAGACTGCAGGAAGAATTGCTTTTACATAAGCAGGCTAAATTAAAGGAACAGATGCAGAAACAACAGGAAGCTTTGCAGGATTTTCTTAGTAAGCGGGTATGTTTTGTAAATGTAATATGAGTTGTCCGCTAGTAGGTGTCCAGGCTAGAGAGTGAACTTTGTCAGTTAGCAGATTTCACCATGTAGTATGCAGACTTTGAGGGTACGCATTTGTCCTTTCCGGAAACTGACGTTCAAACTAGAGAACTGTGACCTTTTGTGATCTGCAATCATTGGTTCTCTTAGATGAGCCACAAGAGCCTCTCTCTGTCAAATAGCACAGAAATTGTGCTAATCTTGTCTCTAGCCGGAACTCTGAATGTTGTATTCATGGAAGGAGTTAGTTTTTGGAATATTTACAGGCATTTTTGTTTATCTTTACAGTCTTTAAATGGTGGCTCTAGCATTAAGGCTGCGTCTAGACTGGCAAGTTTTTCTGCAAAAGCAACAGTCTACACTGGCCAGCTATCTACACTGGCCGCTTGAATTTCTGCAAGAACACTGACTTCCTACTGTCTGAAATCAGTGCTTCTTGAGGACATGCTATGCTGCTCCCGTTCGGGCAAAAGCCCTCTTGCGCAAATGCTTTTGCGCAAGAGGGCCAGTGTAGACAGCTAAAAACTGTTTTGCGCAAAAAAAACCCCGATCGCGAAAATGACCATCGGGGCTTTCTTGCGCAAAAAAACAGCGTCTAGATTGGCACGGACACTTTTCCGCAAAAAGTGCTTTTGCGGAAAAGGGTCTATGCCAATCTAGACGCTCTTTTCCACAAATGCTTTTAACAGAAAACTTTTCCGTTAAAAGCATTTGCGGAAAATCATGCCAGTCTAGACATAGCCCAAAGGTCTAATAAACACTTCTGTCAGATAACTAACTCATAAAAAGCACAGATTGGTTTTAAATCTGTAAACAGGGAAAATTGATTTTTAAATTTCTTATCTGCTTTTTGTTTTGTTAAATTATTTCTGAACAGCAGTCGTGCTCTCCAATTATGAATGAATTTCCACAAGAACACTAACGATCTAATGTAAGATTGTCAGTGTTCTTCCGCAAATACTATGCTGCCCCCGCTCGGGGAAAAAACCCTCTTGTGCAAATGCTTTTGCGCAAGAGGGCCGGTGTAGACAGCTAAAAACTGTTTTGCGCAAAAAAGCCCCGATGGTGAAAATGACGATCGGGGCTTTCTTGTGCAAAAAAACAGCGTCTAGATTAGCACGGACGCTTTTCTGCAAAAAGTGCTTTTGCACAAAAGCGTCCGTGCCAATCTAGATGCTCTTTTCCACAAATGCTTTTAACGGAAAAACTTTTCCGTTAAAAGCATTTGCAGAAAATCATGCCAGTCTAGACATAGCCGTTTTGTTTAAGAAAGAATCTAAAATAAATTCAGTTTTGGTTTCCAAATGAACTCTTTTTCTACATGTTTTGGTTCAGACAGTGAACCAAAACTTTGTTGTTTGCTCAGCTCTGTCCAGTATAGTCCACAGTATCATTGGGTTAAGCGAGTCTCTCTATGGAAGCTGGATATACCAAAACATCTTTGCCTTGTTTTATTTCAACTGGTCGAGAATAGTAGGCATCGCAAAGATTCCCTTCATGCTGCTTTGGCTCTCTGCCTTTCATTTTTGCAGTCTTTAGAGAACTAAAATTCCTACCATTAGTAACTGAGAAGTAAATAGAAATATGATTTCAGGACTTGATCCAGCAAGAAACAGAATATTCTGGCCCAAGTGAACGAAATATTTAAATATGCAACTAATTAACTGCTAACAAGTATTCACGTGTTTAGGTGTTTTGCTGATTTGCGCTTTTGGTTCTTCTGGAAAGAGCTCATGTATAGTGTATGAGACACATAGGAAAAATAGAATTTTAGTAAAATGGGTGTGAAAATAATCTTTAGCCACTGTTACTTCTTTTTTTAAGACAGAAGAATCTGTCACATACAGAAAGATGACAGAAACACATAATTCTGACCATTTCAGTCTGACGACTTACCCTTTCAAAGATGCAGAAAGTAAATCTCAAGAAGTTAATTGTTGTGATATGAACAACTATGTCAAAAATAGATTGCTTTCGCAAAGCATCAATCAAGCTGAGCAAATTGGTGAGGACATTTATATTATAATACTGCTGCTCACTATTTTTTTTTCCTTTCCCTTGAATTGAATCTTTAACTGCTTATAGTATGTTGCAAAAATATAAACTGCAGAACATTCTTTTTATATTACAGAAGAGTCTCAAAGAATTCTGAGAAGAGAACAGCGATGGCAAACTTCAAAACCACCTCCAGCTAAAATCAAGTTAGGGCTAGATTTGGAACAACATGAACTAAGTGTAATACCAGAGCTAGATACACCAACGAGTGGCAAAATTTCTTTTACAGGTAAAAAAAAAAAAAACCATCCCTAACTAGATATTCTGTTTTGCCTGAAATACAATTTTTGAAGTAAGAAATTAGCATTTTTGGCTATGTCTACACTGCAGAGATTTTGCACAAAAACTCACGGAGTGTCCACTCTTCAAGCGCGTTTTTATGCAAGAAAATTTACAGTTAATCAGTAGAACAGAGGGGTTTTGTGACATAAGTATTCCTCTTTCTATGAGGAAATAACTCCTTTAAGAGTTCTTGCGCAAAAAGGTGTGTGGGGACAGGAAACAGGTTTTTTGCGCAAAAACAGCCTATCGAAAGACGCACCGGTGCCCTAGTGGCCATTCTGTTAATGGCAATTAGATCTTTCTTGCGAGAGAGTGTCCATGCAGTCTGCATGCTCTCTTGCACAAAAGCATATCCCTTTCTGATGAGCTTTTGCAGTGTGGACACACTCTTGCGCAAGAAGTTTTTGCAGGAGGTCTCTTCTGCAAAAAGCTTCTTGCGCAAGAAGCATGCAGCCTAGACATTGCCTTCCTATAAGACTTTGAGATAGTTGAGGATGAATTAGTGGTCTCAGCTGTAGCTTGGAGGTTCAGATATTATTATTTATATAGTAGCAAAAAATATGCTGTAGTATTTATAACTAGTTAACTATTCCCTTCCTTGAATCAATTACAATCTACATACAGACTTAAAAGGCAAATTGCATGCAGTTTAATTTCAAGGACTTGGTTATTTGTACACCCCTCCCAGGGTCATGCCTGGCAGTTTGGAAAGGCTGTCCCTTCCCCAGCCTAGCCTACTGGACAAATAGGCTTTACTTTTGCAGTAGGGTAGAGTTAGGTTAGACCTTAGGAAAAACTGTAGGGGTACAGTGGAACAATTCACCTTTGGATGTTGTGGAATTTCCATCATTGAGCTTTTTAAGAACAAGTTAAATAAACCTAGAATCATCTTTTGACACATGTAATGCCTGGTCTTTCCACATTGTAGGGAACTAGGCTGATGATCTCTCAAGGTCCTTTCCAGTCATACGTTTTTGATAGGAAATAATATTTTGAACATTTGACAGCACATTGTAGACAAGTCCATTTCACTGTTGTTTCCCTTGAAAGTGAGAGAGCGTCCTTAATTGCTTACGTCTTTCAAAAGTATGGAAACCTGGTTCTAAAACCCCACAAATGGACAGAGGGACTCAGTAAATTAGTTTTATTTTTTTTTTAAACTGACTTGCGTTCAAGTTCACAGTATCATTTTAAATTAAATGCATTTTAGCGTGTGCTTGTACAGTTCAATTGAAATGGAACAGTTTATAAATTCATTACTGTATTTCTGTAGTACAATATGCACAATTCAATGCAGCATGTCTTTTTATGAAAGCTGAAACATTACCTCTTACCATTAGTAAATAAAAACATTTACAAATTCAGATAAAACAGATTCAGTTGGTGAAGAAGCTTCTCTCATTTCATCTGCGGAAGAGCTAGTGTCTGGCTTGTGCAACAATGAATCTGTTCATGAAGAAAGAGACTTACCCATCACAAATTGCAAAGAACAAGGTTCTAATGATAACCCAAAATACAATACTGGGCTAATTAATTCATGGCATGAAGGACTGATGGTGGATGCAGGTAGTTCACATGGCCCAGGTAAGACACTCCATCTTTTTTAAAGGTATATGCAATTATCATTTTAATATGTGAAATATACAGCACTTGAACTATGTCTGAACTGATTTGTTAGAAGATGTACAGTGGGTCTGATGCAATTATCAGAGGTTTCATATACACACATTGCATGTGTAAATATAAAGCCACTGAAGCTTAATTCCACATATATGTAAATGGAATAATCACTCTTACAGATTATATTTGAGAGCTTTTCTTATTTATTCCCCTATATTATGGTGATGTCTCACAAAACTAAACAACTTGTGGAATGGGTGGTAATTATTGAAGAACAATATATTGTGCAGCTTTTTCCCCTCTGCGCCTCTTTTAATTGTAGTCTTAGATGCTTTCATCCTTTTGGTCCTGAATTTCAAAACTGAGTTTGGTATCCTGGCCAGCCATATAATATTTTCCTTTGAATAACTCTGGTTTTATTTAGATTTTGACTATAGTCACTTTACATAAAAATCTGAATTTGTACGTGGTTAGTCAATGAAGAGAAAAAAACAACAACAGAAAATGTGGAAATGACAGACATGCTTAATAACTTGTTTGTTTTTATCAAGGAGGTTGGTGATGAGGGAACAACTAATATAGTATATGCCAATGAAAATGGGTTAGGTTCAGAAGCTAAAGTAGGGAATGAACAAGTTAGGTATCTGAGTCACCAGAGCCTGATGAAATGCATCCTACAACACTCAAAGAGTTGACTAAGGAGACGTCTGAGCCATTGGGTATTATCTCTGCAAAATCATGGAACCCAGGAAAGATTCCAGAAGGTCAAATATAAGTTACGTCTACACTACAGAGAAGATTGAAGCTGCTGCTGTCTATCTTCCAGGGTTTGAATTAGCGGGTCTAGTGAAGACCCGCTAATTCAAACTGAGACTAGCACTCAAGTTGATGCCGGTAGTCCTGCTTCCACAAGGAGTAAGGGCTGTCAAAGGGCTCTCTTTGATTTCCAGTAGCGTGGACAGTGCCAAAAGTCGAATTAAGGTACTTCAACTTCAGCTACATCAATTGCGTACCTGAAGTTGCATATCTAAATTCGATCTTATCCCGTAGTGTAGACATATCAATAGTGTTCATCTATAAAAAGGGAAATAAAGCCAACCCAGGAAGTTATATACCCGTAAGTTTAAATTTGATACCTGGAAAGATAATGGAGCAAATAATTAAAGAATCCATTTGCAAATATGTAGACGGTAATAAGATAAGTATTAGTCAACATCCGCTTTTAAAGAACAAATTGTAACAGTTAAACCAATTTGATACAGTAAACTTTCAATAATCCGGTACCTTTAGGACCCAAGGGGTGCCGGATTATCAGATACGCCAGAGTACCGGAAGGGGGGCTATGAGAGATCGGCAGCAGGAAGGGGTTGTCAGGGAACTGAGCAGCATGGGAGAGGGCGGTGCTGCGGGACCAACCTGGCAGCACCCCAGCTGCCCTGCCCCCGGCTTCCCCAAGTCAGCCACTGGTCAGTTTCAGCAGCAGCGGACTTGGGGAAGCCGGGGGCAGAGCATCTCCAATTGTCCGGCTGGCCCGAGCACTTCCAGGTTCCAGTTGGTGCCGGACTATCGGGAGTGCCGGACCCCTGAATGCCAGACAATTGGAGTTTTACTGT